TTCAGGTTTATACAATCAGGAAAATGGGCATATAACATTTAACAAAGCAGTAATTCATAGTTGCATCAGCAAGTAAAAAACTATAAATATCTACATATATACAAATACTAGTAAATAGCTAAACCTTGTATTTCTCATCAAATTTCACCATCCTTTCTTAAAAGCAAAAAAAGTGAAGAAGTAATGCTTCAGTGATATCAGTTTGCCTGAAATAAATCTTTAGTACTAAATTATTCAGGGTACTATTTACAAGTATTGAGAGTTCTGGAGCACATGAGTGGCTTGGTCAGTTAAACGACCCACTCTTGATTTCAGCTCCGGTCATGATCTCAGGGTCCTGAGATCCAGCCCCATCCAGCACTCCAAAGCACATAATCTGACTTGATATTCTCTCTCTCCTTTCTCCTCTGCCCTCTTCCATGCTTGCATGTGCACCCACTCTCTCTTTTTCTCTCTAAATAAATAAATAAATAAAACTTTTTAAAAAATTAAAATATGAGTTCAGATTGCTAAAAATGAAAACTAGTCAAGAATTACACTGTTCTGAATCCTGGCTGTACCACTTACTAGCTGTGAGATCTATACCAAGTTATGCCACTTCCCCTGCCTCAGCTTCCTTGTACTGAAAATGAAAATAACAATTGTTCTTATCTCACAGGATTTTGTGAAAAATAAATCACATAAATACAAGCTTTTAGCACAGTGTCTGACACATATAAAAGACAAAAGTCTCAGGGTGCCTGGGTGGCTAAGGTCTTATCTCAGGGTTCTGGGATCAAGCCATGCATCACCGGACTTCCTGCTTCTCTGTCTCTCTTTCCCTCTGCCCCTCCCCACTTCTCATTCTCTCTCTCTCATAAAAATAAATGAAAGCTTAAAAAAAAAAAAAAAGCCAACAGTCTCTTCCAAGGATCAGCACACTTGTTGGAAGGCCAAATAGTAAATATTTAAGGATTGCAAGGCATACAGTCTCTGTCAAAACTATTCAACTTGACCTTGCTGTGTGAAAATAGCCACAGACAATACATAAACATAGGAGCATAGCTGTGCTTCAACAAAACTTTAGAAACTGAAATTAACTTTCATATAATTTTCACATGTCACAAAATATTATTCTTTTGTTTTTGTTTCAACTATTCAAAATGTAAAATCTATTCTTAGCTCAGGAACTAGCTGCACAGAAGCAAGTCGTGCCCTAGTTTGCCAAATCTGGTCTAGTCTCAGCTCTTTCAGCAGCTAGCTGACTATATAAGCCTAGGCAATAAGCATTATAACTGGCTGCCTAGGTGAAGGTATAATCACACAGAAAACAGGAATAATACCTTCCAGCCAGTTATGAGAAATCAAAGAGATAAGGAATGCAAGCACTCTGAATGTCAGGCTACACTACACGAAAACAGTAGAAGGTGGCAGGGATAATAAATACTTGTTTAAAAAACAAACAAACAAACTGGATTCCAAATTGCACCGGGGCAAAAACTGTGAGGCAGGAAAATTATCACTGGGGAGACAATGTGAGATGGTAAAAGAATTTCTGAGTCAGACTTTCAGGGCCCACATCCTGGTTCCCCAATTTATAAGATGTATCTCCTTTAAAGTCTCTGATGAACATAAATTTCCTCAAATATAAAAGTTAAGATATCTTACCTCATAAAACTATGAGACACAAGTAAAAATCCACCTAGTGCCATTCACTTAATTTTAAAAAGGAGGGGGCAGTCTGTGGTGCCATCACCGTCGGAGTGCAGATCCTAAATTTTCTTTGGGAGAATATAACAGGGAGAGGGCGAAGTAATGGAACTGGAGTCTGAGCACGTCTTGGAACTAGAACCCCGGTCTCCTGCCAACCTAATCAACCTAAGTAGGCCTCTTCGAGCCCCCAGGCGTCCAATCTGCAGATGATCCCACAGGACCTTCTAGTTCCATTCATCACTAGATAATGTGAATTCTTCAACATCCCCAAACCCAACCGGGTTCCAGAGCAAAGCCACTATTAACAGTCACTTAGAGGTCACTGAAAAATCTCTCGGCCTGAATCACAAATTAAAGTGTGACAGGCGGGCAAGGAAGCCATGAGACTCACCTGACTCGGGATAGACCTGGCAGGTTCAGACTGAACTGAAAAATTGTCCTGCCGGGCTGTAGTTTCAAAGCTGTTAAAAGAGTCCGTCGCGAGTTCTATTTTAAATATCGCGGGAAGGCTCGGGAACCAATCGCTGCTTCCGCCCTCTGACCCGGAAGCAGAGTCGGCGCGCGCCGGGGCAGGCTGGGGAGGAGACCAGCTTCCCTCTGGCCAGTTTCCGACAAATTGGTGCGTATCGCTCCTGAACCTGAGGGTTCGGGCGGGTTTGCAACTGGCCGCCCAGCGCTCCCATCCTATTCTTGCGAGTTCCTTCTCTCCCGAGTCGTTTTCCCTCTGACCTCGGGCTTCGGGAGGTGGTAGCGGGGCTCACGGGACTTGCCTGTCTGGGAGAGACGTTGGAGCTTTTTGCGGGTAGTTCAGTTGTTTCCTCCCTGTTCCGCTCTTCAGTTTTAGAGGGCAGGTCCAGCTCGCCGTACAGTGAAACCCTGAAAATGTAGTGAGACTGGGCACAGTTTAACAAGCGATAAGGGGACCGAGTTTCCTGATCTCGAATCTTTTCCACTTCCCACATCGCTGTGCCTCTATGGGCATCCACCTGCTCTCACCCTTAACAAATGTCCAGTCCTGGGTTCCCACTCGTAGGGTTACTAGTTTATAGGCTCCCTGAGGTGGGATTCCTCTGATTCTCCGCAAATACTTAACCAGGTCTTGATGAGTTCGTTACTGAGTCCAGCTATTCTCAGGACAACTGCATCCAATTAAGGGGGGGGGAGACCTCTTTAGATCCCTAAGTCTCTGGGAATGCTACTTCCAGAGTGCACATCAGGCCATAACAGGTTGGTGGAAGTTTTGTGCCTGATTTTACGAATATCATTTTTATATCACACATTTTGGCACTCTTTCTCCGGGTCTTATTGTGCTTTTCACAGAGAATCGTAACTGTTAACGGATATTGTGATCTTCGCGGCGGAGGCCTGTTTTTCTTCTCTAGCACTGGTGTCCAGCACCTAGTAAAGTATTTCAAATGCTGTCTCCTCTATGAGCTTGGCAGCTAACTAACCTATTAAAGCCTCGATTTCTTCTTCTGTAAAATGGGAACCATTTGCCTCCTCTTAGGTTTGCAAGTATTAGGTGTCACAGTGTCAGTAAAATCCTTAACATGGCACCTGCAAGCAGTGCTATGTAAATGTTAACTATCATTAATTTTTTATGAATATATTCACTACTAAACTGATTCTATCTTCAAGTTCTCACTATCTTTTTGTTAATCTAAACAGGATATGATGATTTATTCTGCAGGTATTATTCATGAAGTATTTAAAGAAGTACGTGGTTTGGGTTTTTTTGTAGCTGTCTGTGGCATCTGAAATACCATGTCCTTATTTTGATTCATTTGCTGAAAGTGACTGACACTTTGATGGTTTCTATCTAACTATGTCTGTGCTGTAATCCACAGTTTCGTGACCTCATCCAGTAGAAGGCTATTTTATTTTTACAACTGCTCAAGTATTGACATACAAGATGAAGCAAGATGCCACAAGAAATGCTGCCTACACTGTGGATTGTGAAGATTATGTGCATGTGGTAGAATTTAATCCCTTTGACAGTGGGGATCCAGGAAACCTAATTGCATATGGTGGTGGTAATTATGTGGTGGTTGGCATGTGTACATTTCAGGTTAGTGTACAAAATTCAGTGAATGACAGTGAAGCTATTTCACTGGTTAAAAAAACAAACTTTGGCAAACTGGGTAAACTTGGAAAACATATTGAGCTTGAATGTAAGAGAAAAAATTACATGAAGAACTACAGAGGAAGATATTTCCAGTAATATATGCCTGAGATTTGTGCATACATTAAATAGGTAGTGAAGAAAAACACTATGAGGCTTCTCTTTTTGCCTTGTGTTTGGAAATGAAATATTCTGGTAATTGAAGGTTGTGGCTAACTGAACATTTGGTATGTACAGAGAAAACTAGGTCTCAAATGAGACCTAAGTAATTACTTAACCCAGTTTTTCTACATTCCACTTTGACATAGGAAACAAGCCTAAAGAACGATCCTCCAGGAGATTTTACAGCTGTCGTGATATTCAGCTTCTGTATTAGTATGCTCTCACGCTTTTTGTACATCTAAAGCATACATCCAGTGTATACACAGTATGGGACCCTATTAATTGAACAGGCAGTTTAGCATAGTCATTAAGACAATGAACTCTGGAGCCAAAATCCTTGGGTTTTTACTTCTGCCTGGCTTTACCTCTTAATAACTATATGACCCTGAGCAGGTACTTGACCTCCCTTCTATAAAAATGAGGAAAATAATACTTAATAGGGTTTTGTGAGAATGTAGTTAGTAGGTCATGTGACATTCCTAGAAGGCATCTGGCACATTTTTTTTTTTTTTTTAAACTGTCACTAATCTGGTCAGTGTTGCCCCCCAGCACCGGCTCATATTTAATCACCAAAGCAAGATTGCATTGTGGTGAGCACATACGATGTTTTCTTACGGGAAAGCCAGTTACACATGTGAAAGAGTCTAAACAATGTGAATTCAACCCTTAGAAATGTTGGCTAATAATTTGTTTACCAGAATATTATTCCTAAAACAATATTTCTCAAATTAAGATTAATTGGTGAGGTAATTTGGCATTGGTCAGTTTTCAAAGATTTAAAGTAACTTTACCACTAAAGTACTATTATAAACATTATTATTTACTGTTTTACTCAGGAGGCAGTATTTTATTTCAGTATACTGTTTTGGCATCATAAATGCAGTTTAGCATTTTACAGTGCATTAAATAAAGTTATACAAAGTTAGACTGCATGCATATTTGTGCTAAGGAAAGAGTATGAATTAAAGGCTTCATTTTTTTGGTGTCTGAATACAATACAAGAGCTCTTACATTTTCCCACATTGTCTCAGGATTGGGGCAGAAATTGCTAGCTTTCAGGCCAAGTGACCCATGGCCTGATTTTAGCTAGACTACTTAGTTAGGATCATAAAAAGTCCACATGATTAGGAGAAATAATATAATACACTCTTGAAAAAGACTGATGGTAAAACCATTTTTCTGGTGCAGGTTACTAACCCACAAAAGAATAAAGGAGCTCCCTACAGGTGAAACTAAGTTTTCATTACTTTTAAAATTAAGAACTGAATACAGAATTGTATTTAAAAAAATACTGAAAAGATGTTTTATCTCTAATTTATGTTCAGATAAGAAATGAGAAAGTCAAGAAGGGAGAAAAAAAAATCAGGAAAAAAAAAGGTGATGAGTGGCAGAGAGAGAAAAAGACGATGGAGAAGAAAGAACTAGCAAAAAACATTTGTATTGCTCTGTCATGTCTTGCGCATTGTCCTTGTTGATCCTCAGACCTGTCAGATTGGCAATCTAGGTCTTACAGCCAAACTACCTAAAGGAAGAATTGAATTTTATTAACTTGGCAAGTTTCTGTGCCAAGTACTGGCAATAAAATTAAGCAACTGTCCCTGTCCAGAGTTTCCATTGTACGTCAAAGAAGTTCAGGGATTTATATGACTAGTAAATGAAAAAACAAGCTGTAGACCCCATTTTATAAACCCCTTTTCCTTTGATGCTGGTATTCAGATAGATTGAAGCCATAATTCTAACAGTTCTGGAGGAGATTCGGGTCCCAATAATTTGCCCTTGAGGATTCATAATATATTATCATTTCCCTTTAAAGTTATTTTGTTATCTAATTAAACGCTATTAAGCGTTGTTTCTATTCTCTCACGTTAGAAACTTCAAGTTCCATAGCATCCAATTTCATGCCTCTTGTCTGAGAAAACTAAGTAAAGGTAAATTGAATTGAAAGTTTTCCACATGCCTGTTGGAAAGGCAATCCTCATTCTAAGACTCAGGAAAACACTGTCAATACAGTATATTTAAATTTCAACAAAGCATTTTTCAGAATCTTATGGTGTTCTTTTGAATATGTTGGAAATTTGAGCTGAATCTTGTACTATTAATTGGTGTCATGTATTTGTCAAGTATTAAGTGCAAAACAGAACTGGTAATACCTATGTTAAAAAAGCAAGGACCCTGACCTCAAGATGTTTAAGTGTAAAACCATGCAGTAGGAAAACTTATAAGAAGTCCTATGTGCAAAGGGTAGAGGGAACATGAAAGTTTCAAAGTCTATTCAAAGGATCACCAATAACGAATTGGGGACTTGAATTTCGAGAACATTTGATTTAAGCAAGCACATTGAATTTATGTAGAACGTGAAGCTGAGAAGAATACCTAATGCTTTGAATGATAAACTCCACTTAACAAGTATTTATTGAGCACCTGTTGTATGCCAGACACTGTGCTTAGAATTTAAGTATTTAATAGATTGGTTTAATGTGCCAAGTTGAACAAGCTAAAATTCAATAAAGTCTTAAAATGATAGACTGCTGAATCTAAAAGGGACAATTGTGACTTAACATTTTTTAGTCACCTGGATGTTCACTATGAAACAGTGCAATGATTAAACTGCCAAAAGGAGTTAATTCGGTGCTGTGCAATAGAAATACAGTGTGAGCCACAAATATAAATTTAAGTGTTGTAGTAACCACATTATAAGAAGCAAAAATCAGATGAAATTAATTTTAATGTATTGTTTTACCCAGCATATCCAAAATATTTCATGTGTAACCAACATAAAAAATTAATGAGATATTTTATATACTTTTTAAACTAAGTCTTAAATCTGGTGTGGATTTTGTACTCTATAAAGTATACACGGTTTGAACTAGCTATATTTCGAGTACTTAATAACCCCATGTGGCTAGTGGCTGCCATATTGGACAGCATAGCTCTATATTCTTTAATCTTTACTTCATTTCTCAGCAGTGTATGTTATGATGCAAATGAGATAACGTTTTTGAAGAAATTTCAGAATGGTATTAAAATGTTTAAAACTGCCATGTGAAAGAGGGATTAGACTCAGAATGGTAAATATATTTTGTGTTATTCATCAGTTCTGTCTTTGGTGAAGTTATGGCTTATAGTGCTTTAAGACTGACACTGAATCTTCTTTGAATGTGTTCACCTAAGATCAGCTGTGGCCAAATACTTGTCTTCGCTGAAATAGATTTCATCTATATGGTTCCAGGGAGCAGAATTTGGAGCAATTAGTAGAATTTACATGAAAACAGATTTGGTTTTAATGTTAAAGAGAGCTCTTTGAATTAGAACTTCAATTCTAATTCCAGTTCTAACTTGAGTTGAATAAGCTCCCCCAAGAAGTAGCTAGTTCCCTGTCACTGAGAATATTCAGAGAAGGGTTATGCAAACTCTCTCCAGATGTTATACAAATTCAAGTGTGAGGTGAAAGACGTGGACTAGGTAAACTTTACAGTCTCATCTGACTAAAATTCTGTCTTTGGCCTTAACTGGGTATGGTGGGAGGGCCTGCCAATTTCAAACCCTTACAAGAGCCCTTTCATCAACCTGGCTTTGTCCCAACCTCAAGCAAACCAGAGCCTTCTATAATGATTTGTATTGCAGCAAGTTTTCCACAGGATCTTAATTTCCTGCCTATACAATACTGCCTACACCCCAAACTAAACCCAAAATAGCATTTGTCTCTGCCTATACCACACACACACCCTGGCCTTTTAGTTGGCTCCGTGGCAGGCATTGCTGCCAGGAAAAAAGGTTTCACTGGTAATACATAAAGCGCAAGCTATACTATCCCTGGGATTTCTTTATCTCCGTGGCCATCCAATAACTCTATATATACTTTGGGTAAAAAATTATAGTACCTAATTGTCAATACTGTTGTTACAGTAGCAAAGTAATCTGTGTTTTGATGGTAAAAACTTCATTTTTAGAAGATTGATTTGTCCAGTGTGGAAAAATAGATGTAACCCAAACTATGAAGTCAGCTATGATTAGGCTCTTAACCTGATTTTAAAATTGCTTAGTGGTTGCTGCCTTGGCATATCTGGCTGTTAGCTATACAGTTATTATACACACAGATTATGAAGTAACAAAACTTGACAGTGTTTTTCTTTCTTTGATAAGTACATTTCTATTTCCTATTTTCATTTATGGAAAAACTTATGCTGTTAACTCAAGTTTGTCTGAAATTTAAAGTTATTTTTCAAGGGGCATTAGAATTATGTAGAGAAAACCATGTGGAATGTATTTGTGAAATGGCTTTGCTAGGATCCCAAAGACATTTTATCCTGGAAAAATCAACACATTCAACAGGATTCACTTAAACCTTGCATTTAGATTCAGGATGAATGAAATTCTTAGAACAGGCCTTCAGATAATATCCTATCTATGTAGACATATGTATCCCTTAAGTAAGTTTCACCTGCTCTGGATTTTTCCCCTGGTGTTATTTTATAATTCTATGAACTTATAAAAAGATAATTGTATCACTTAATACAGAGGAGTCCTTGGAAAAATTTGTCATGAAAAATTTTGCTGCAGTCTCTAGATCCAGTTGGGGCATTGATTTAAATAACAACAGTTTTTAAACTTAGTATTTTCAAGCCTATAAAAAGTATTTTAAAATATATGTTATCTATATAAGGTATAAATAACAATAAAATAGATTCCTGGATGCCTACTACCCAGCTAAAGAAATAGAACATTAGTAATTCTTCTGAAGCCCTCTGGGTGTTCTTCCCTTACTGCCTTTCCTTCTCACCTTCAAGTGGTAACCATGCCTGAAATTTTGTGTTGTTTTACTTTGTTTTTACTTTATAGAGTTACCATATATGTAGGTCTTGCAAAGGAGTATATTGGCTTTCATGTTTCAAATTTTATCAATGAAATTATTCTGTATTATTTTCTTCTACCATGTGTTGCTATTAACATTGTATTTGTTAGGATACTCCATGTCAAAATTCATTTGTTTCCATTGTTGTATGGTATATTTTGCACATATAGCATAATTAACCTATCTTTTCTTCTATTGGCTATTTGGTTTATTTTTAATTTTTTACCCTTGAAAACATTGCCAGTGTGCATATTCTTTTGTCTTCTGTTTGTGTTTTGTTACCTCCTCCTTTCATTGTTTTCTTCCCTGATAATTTGGAGGTTTTGCATGCTGTTTCTCCTCTTTTAATGGTTACCAAAGACACTTTACCATGCATACTTAATTAGACAAAGTCGAAATTAATATATTTGGGTGCCTGGGTGGCTCAGTCCTTAAGCATCTAACTTCTGCTCAGATCATGATCCCAGTGTCCCGAGATCAAGCTCTGCATCCAGCTCCCTGCTCAATAAGCCTGCTTTCCCCCTCTCCCTCTGCCTGTTGCTCCCCCTGCTGCGCTCTCGCGCTCTCTCTCTGACAAATAAATAAAATCTTTTAAAAAAAAAATCTTTAACTTCTTCATGAACAAAATAAGGATCTTTGACTCTTGAACTATCACCCCCTCCAGACTTATATCACTGTCATATTTTAGTCCTGTTGTTTTTCTTTTCATTTTAAGCCACAAATTATGTGTTACAGGGCTAATATTTGTTTAGATTAACCCATCTGTTTGCCTTTGGTTTTTTTACTCACTGTTCCTTAAATCTCAGGCCTTCCTTCTGGGGTCATTTTATAGTAAAGGGTGTAATAAAGTACACCCTTTACTACGAGAGAAAGTTTATTACTAAGTTCTTTATGTAAAGGGCCAGATAGTGAATATTTTAGGTTTTTCCAGCCACTTACAGTACCTGTTGCAAATTGTTCTTTGTTTTCTACAACTCCTTAAAAATACAAAAATGGGGTACCTGGGTGGCTCTTTCAGTTAAGCGCCTGCCTTCAGCCCAGGTCATGATCCCAGAGTCCTGGGATCAAGCCCTGTACTGGGCTCCCTGCTCAGCAGGGAGCCTGCTTCTCCCTCCCCCCGCCCCCCGCCCCACTTGTGTGCGCGCGCGCTCTCTCTCAAATAAATAAATCTTTAAAAAATATATGTGTGTGTGTATATGTATATATATACATATGTATATGTGTATATATATATATATATATATATATAAATTCTCAGTTCGTGGACCATACAAAGCCAACGCATAGACCAAATTTGGCCCAGCCATAGTTTGCCATTCTCTGCTCTAGGAGATCTTTTAGTGAGGGTTTGCTGATGCTTAAATCTTGGTTTTTGTTTTTCTGAAAATATATTTAATACAACTTCATTCTTGAAAAACAGTATGGTTGTGTGTATAGTCCTAAAGCCTTTTCTGTCATTGTTTTGAAGATCTTGTTCCATTATCTTCATGCATTTGTTGTTTCAAGAAGCTATGTGCCAAGAAGTCTATGGTTCTAATTCTTTTATAGGAAATCTCTTATATAGGAAACCTGTCTTTTCTTTCTGGTTGCTGTTGCTAAAAGCCCCATCCTCGTCCTGGTTTCTTTTCCCTCCCTTCCCCCTCCCCTCCCTCAGTCTGTATGTACACATACACACAAATTTATATCATGAGAGTTTGTATGTGTATTCTGAAGTTGCACTATGTTGTATCTGCCTGTGGATTTTATTTAAGCTGTCTGGGACATATTGTTCTATCTAAATATATGTATTGGTGCCTGTCATCAAGTATGGAGGACCCTTTGCTGTTATCTCTTCATCTTCAAATATTGCCTCTTCTCTCATTCCCTCTATTTACTCCTCTGCAACCCAAATGAGATATATAGTGGAACTTCTCACTGAATCCCTTTTAACTTTTTTTTTTTTCTTCTCTTTTCTGCATTCTGAGTAATTTTTTAAAGTCTGTATTCCAGTTGCTCTAAGCATTTTTTTTTCTTACGATATTTTAATCTAAATGTTTTATTTGGTTTTTTTTTTAAAGCTGCCTAATCATTCTTGGTCATCTCTTATTGCTTACTCATACTTGTGTTTGTGGTTCTTTGTTTTCACATGTTTGAGTACATTTGTGTAAGATCATATTTGATTGAACTATATCTGTGGTAACTTTTTGAGACCTGGGTAGAGGTAGTTCATCCAAAGAGAATTTGCCTTTGTCTGTCAGGTGCTCTGGGCCACTACCAACATATGACCATTTTGAAATCAATTGTCATTTTCTGGAGCACGTAGTTAATATGAATTCAAGCCACAGACTCATATTACAGCCAGCTAATGGTAGAGATTTCTCGTAAGTGGCTTTTCTCTCTTAGCCTCACCCATGGTAGATATTTTGCGTGGCACTTTTGGTTTGGGTTTTTTTTCCCTACTTCCCCTTTAAAGGACCTGGATCTTTGCAGAAGTCTCCAATCATCCTTCCTTGTGCAGGCACTAAACTTTGTCCTTTTTTTCCTGCAAACTGAACCTGTTAGTTTTTGGATATGGACAGAAGTACTTAAGATAGCTGCGTTACATTATTTTTACAATGGGAAACTTTTTCAGGTGATTATCCCTATTTCCAAACCTAAATACTTCAAAATTCATTTTTTCCTCATCTTCACGTGAATATAAACTGAAATTACTTTAGTAGTACCAAAGCAGGTAAATAAGCTGACTTTAAATATCTAAACCAGAATCTTGTATCCAAAAGACTAAATTAACCAGATTGTATTAACATATTCACTATTCATAGTCCATAACAATATTAGATGAACAATTTGTAACATCTTACATATGTATAGTGCTATATATAATGCTATGTAAAAAAATAATATATTTACTGTTTGTTTTTAGTTGTCCTATAGAGTTTTCCTCGAGACTTAGACAGTTTTAGCTATTTTTGTTGTCAGTGTTGCTCAGCTAACCAGTTAAATCTCTATATCTAATCTGTTTTTGAACTTTCTCAAAAGAATATATATGGCCTCCTGATAACTTCTTCATTATGGTAAAATCAGAATGTTATAGTGTTTGTTTTCATAACTTCTTCAAACATTTACTGTATATGCTTAGGAGGAAGAAGCAGACATTGAAGGAATTCAATATAAAACACTACGAACATTTCAGCATGGAGTCAGGGTCGATGGCATAGCGTGGAGCCCAGAAACTAGACTTGATTCATTGCCTCCAGTAATCAAGTAAGTTTAAAACTATTAAGTGTAGTATTTATTAATGTCCTTTGTTTTAAGTGATCTGAAGCCTTTGATGATAAGGCCTTTTTTTCCTCCATTTCCATTTTTCCCAATTTCAGATATTAGATATTTTAACATTGGCCATTATTTCTTAATTTAGTCTTACTATCTGAATTCGTGATTTAAATATGCAACATGGTAGTGATGCCTTGAATATGTGTTGGGGCCTGACTACAAAGCTCTTTACTTGAGTTTCATCTGAATTATTTGAAGTCTTCACAGATTCTTCACTGAGTTTACCACTTATTGAAAGTATAACTGTTAAAATAAGTAGATTTGATTGAGTCATTAATGAACCTTACTGCTACACAGAGACCAGTGTCACATTTTCTTGTTTAACAGTACATAAAACTATAATTCTAATCCTTGGGCTTCAGTTTTTATGAAAGCATTGAAAAGAACAATTCCTTTTTGAGAAAAATCTTGACAGTACCTGCTGAGGCCTTCTTCACAAAGGCAATATGTGTCAGATTGTTTAATGTTTGTTACGAAACACTAACCTTGCTTCCACAGATTCCAAATCTAAAAGATATGCCTTTTTTTAGTAAACAATATAGCAATCATTAGTTAGCTCTTAATGAACTAACCTAATTTTTTTTAATTGAGGGATAATTCACATATAGTGAAATTCTCAACTTCTGAGGGTATCATTTGATCAGTGTTGCCGTGCATACACTTGTATAACCCATGTACTGATAATACATAGCATTTCCATCACTTCAAAAGTTTCTTAGTACTCCTTCCCAGTCAATCCTTGTACCCCATCTTCTGCCAAAGCAACCATTAATCTAATTTTCAGAAGTTAATTTTGCCTATTCTAGAACTTCATATAAGTGGAATCATACAGAATATACTTTTGTGCCTCGTTGGTTGTTTTTGAGATTTATTCATGTTATAACTACCAGTGATTCTTTTTATTTTTGAGAAGTATTCCATTACATGGTATAAATACCACTGTTTGTTTATCCATTCTCCTCTAAGTAGACACCAGTTTCCAGTTTTCAGCTGCTATGACTAAAGTTGCTATGAGCACCCCTGTATATATAGCTCTTAGTAGATACATGGTTTCCTTATTCTTAGGAGCAGAACTCTAACTCAGAGGGTGTTTTTTTTTTTAACATTTTAAGAAAGTACCAGTTTCCATAGTGGTTCTACTGTTTTATATCCCCACCAGTTAATCTAGAGATGTTCAACTTGCTCTACCAGCTCTTCAGCTTTTATTGTTGTCAGTCTTTATTTTAACCATTATTTTTGGAACCACAATTACATTTCCCTGATGACTCATGATTTTGAGCACTTTTTCGTATGGATTCTATTTCCTATCTAAAGAATATTTGCCTACAGCAAGATTGTGAATATGTTCTGTTTTCTTCTAGAAGCTGTACAGATTTTAGCTAACCAAATTTTAAATAATCCATACAACAGCACTTGTTAATATACATATATCATTGTTAATAGCCAGTTTGCTGTTCATTTCCTTTTATATTAAAAGAAAGTGTTCTCAAAATCTGGAGTTAAACAAGAGTCAGTTAGTTTCTGCATTTTTTAGCAGATTTTGAAAGCTAGACAAACCATCTTCCTCCATGGTTCTGCTTGATGCCTGTTTTCCTGTCCTACTTTAACATCATAAAATGACATATGCTCTTACTGTTTCATCTTTTTTGTTGATGTTGTCTGATAAGCAGCTTCGGATTTTTTTCTGCAAATATATATGATGAATTCAGAATATTAACCAGCCATCAATTTTAAAGACAATATTTTTAGAGCAAGCTGACTGCACAGTTTTGTTTTTATTTTTTTATTTTTTTTAAAGATTTTATTTATTTATTTGTCAGAGAGAGAGCGAGCGAGCATAGGCAGACAGAGTGGCAGGCAGAGGCAGAGGGAGAAGCAGGCTCCCCACAGAACAAGGATCCCGATGTGGGACTCGATCCCAGGACGCTGGGATCATGACCTGAGCGGAAGGCAGCTGCTTAACCAACTGAGCCACCCAGGCATCCCTTTTTATTTTTTTTTTTTTTTTGAAGATTTTATTTATTTATTTGTCAGAGAGAGAGAGCCAGCGAGCATAGGCAGACAGAGTGGCAGGCAGAGGCACAGTTTTGTTTTTAAATAAATCAAACATTTTATTATAAAACATTACACATTTACTGTATCAAATTTAGAATATACAAAATATTTTTAAAGGCCATTTCTACACCCAGTATCCTATTTTTTCATAAATAACTTCACACAATTGTGATTAAACTATATTTGTATTTCTTATCTTACTTTACATATATATATATAATCTATTTCTTATTTTACTTTACATACGTATATATGTAAAGTAAAATAAGAAAAAGTAAAATAAGAAATACATTATATTATATATGTATGTGTGTGTGTGTGTGTATATACATATACACACACACACACACATATATAAAGTATAATACGTATTAAGATGACTCATGGGGCTCCTGGGTGGCTTAGATGGTTAAGCAACTACCTTCAGCTCTGGTGATGATCCTGGAGTCCCAGGATCGAGTCTGCATCAGGCTCCCTGCTCAGCAGGGAGTCTGTTTCTCCCTCTGACCCTCCACTTCTCATGCTCCCTCTCATTCTCTCTCAAATAAATAAAATCTTAAAAAAAAAAAAAGATGACTAAGGTATAACTTGGTGTCTGTCTTATCATTAGCTTAACTTACAGCTAGAAAGAACCCATTCCTAGTGTTTTATCTTTAGTATTTAGTTGCCTTCCGTTCTGCTCTCTCCCTCTGTTCATCCCCACTTGCTTTTCTTCACACTTGCTGGAAAGTAATACTTCACCTTACTTCTATTCTCTGAGGCTTTATGGTTTAATTAAAGGATGGTGTAAATATACTTACCATGTATAAACTCAAGCAGCAAAGTTTGGAGAAAAGTGGAAAAACATAAAGTTGCCATAAAGTTGTGTGTGTGTGTCTATGTGTTTTTTTCTTTTAATAAGATTATTTCATTAATTTTTTTTAAGTAAATAATCTTTAACCCCTGTAAGTCCTGATGTTTTTACTGAACTTGGCCTTACTCTTCTACTAATACTTTATAAACCTTTTGCTTGGGATATTTCTTTTAGAAACCTTCTAAAGTAATCTTTTTCTATTTTAGAAATGATATTTTGAAGAGAGATTTTTAAATGATTTCTTATGACATAAGTATGAGGAGATCTACATTAGGAGATCTCACATTAGTAATGTTGTTGTAGCAAGTCTGTTCTAGAGTTTCCTCTGGATGTGAAAATATGAATATCCAAAATAATAATAGGAAAAATTCAAAGGAGAAGAATTAGGTAGATAAGCTTTGCTTTTTAGTTTTTCTTACCTTTTATTTGTGTTATGAAATACAGCATACATGCCAAAAAGTGCAAAAAAAAGTACATACACAGTTTGTTGTAAAACAAACACCTGTAATGATCACCCAGGTCAAGAAATAGAACATTCCTAGCACCCAAGGTCCCCACTGTGCCCCTCCCAAATCATCTTTCTCCCTTACCCTTAAAGATAATTAAGCTCATGATTATTGTGACAGTTATTTTCTTTCTTTTTTAAATAGTTTTATCAGCTATGTATGCATCCCTAAAACAATAAAGTTTATTTTTTCCTACTTATGAACATTCATACAAATGGAATAATAATATCCTTTTTTTGTCTTGCTTTGTTCACTTATCAGATTCATCGTTGTTTCTGCTTGTAGCTCTAGTCATAGATTTGTGTTGGTTTTTGTTTTTTCACTTCCAGATTTTGTACTTCAGCTGCTGATATGAAAATAAGATTATTTACTTCAGATCTTCAAGATAAAAACGAATATAAGGTATGTTGACAAGTATATTTCATAACTCTTTATTTTAAAACATTATTTTTTTCAATATTTTATTTATTTATTTGACAGACAGAGATCACAAGTAGGCAGAGAGGCAGGCAGAGAGAGAGGGGGAAGCAGGCTCCCTGCTGAGCAGAGAGCCTGATGCAGGGCTCCATCCTAGGACCCTGAGATCATGACCTGAGCCAAAGGCAGAGACTTAACCCACTGAGCCACCCAGGCACCCCTTAAAACATTATTTTTGCCTTTTTACTTGGATTTATCTCAGTTTGAAATGATGTTTAAGGGGTGCCTGGGTGGCACAATCGTTAAGCGCCTACCTTCGGCTCGGGTCATGATCCCAGGGTCCTGGGATCAAGCCCCACATTGGGCTCTCTGCTCAGCGGGGATCCTGCTTCTCCCTCTCCCCCTCCACTTGCTTGTGTTCCCTTTCTCACAGTGTCTCTCTCTGTCAAATAAATAAATAAAATCTTTAAAAATAATAAAATGTTTAATTTTCATCTTTAAAGTATATAATTCAGGATCTCATTTACTCTATTTTTGGCTATAGTAAGGACTACAGATTATAAATCTGATATCATTTATTAAAATATTAGGTAGGCACAGCAAATGAGGGGGATTTAGAAATTCACATTTGGGTATAGTAAGAGTATAATAGACATGAACACACACAGAGTTGAGAGTCAAACTTCGAGAGAACCAATGATCAGTGCAGCATGTAGGGTAAGGTGGGATTATAAAGCGCTTAAGAGCACAGACACAGGGTCCAGACTGCCTAATTCTATCATGTTAATAACAGTATGACTGGTCAAGTTCCTAATTTCTTTGTGCTCAGTTCCTTATCTATAAAATGAGCATAATAATAGCATCTGTCTCATAAGGTTATGAGCATTGATTGAGCTAATTCATACAAAACAGATAGAACAATGTTTTGTACATAGTAAGTTCTATATATGTGTTTTCTATTAGTATAATAAATAACCCTGTAAAATAAGAGAAAGACAAATACTGTATGATCTCACTTATAGGTGGATTTTTAAAAAGCCAAACTCATAGAAACAGAGAGTAAAATGGTTGTTGCTGGGGGAGATGGGGAGATGTTGGTCAAAGAGTACCAAACTTCCAGTTATAAGGTAAATAAGTTCTGCAAACCGAATGTGCGGCATAATATGTGTAGTTAATAGTATGGGTTATATACTTGAAGTTGCTAAGAGAGTAGATCTTTAATGTTCTCACCACAAAACGAAAATGAATTTCTGGGTTGTTGTGATTATGGACTTCTAATACTTTGTCTCCAGTGCTAGCAGTTACATAGAGGAAGTAAATAAAGACCGCATAAGGTGAAACCCATACTGTTTATTAAGTAGTTAGTGTGCAGAGCAGTAGGTATGACTTGGGGTTCTATCTCAGTGCAGTGCCCCTAGAAATTTATTCTAGCTTTAATTTTTATTTAAGCTTTATGTAACAAGTAAGAGAGGAGGTAAGATGAGGACAGGTACTGTAAAAAAGTGTGTGTGTGTTTTTATAAGAAATGCATACTAGAAAAGAAAGATCAAGCTAATAGCGTGTGTTGAATGATCAGCTTCTTTCCAAGATAAACCTTCCAGAAAAAGTGGGTGTATAAATCATGCCTTAAAAATAGCAGATTGCTTAAGAAATATTTATAGAGAAGGGAAGCATGCAGTGAAAGCTTTTAAGGCAGTGAAGTAAAAATATTAGGTAGAAATTTTGTAGATTTTTTTTTCTGTATTCTTACTACCTTTTCCCCTGATGTCAGGTTTTAGAGGGCCATTCAGATTTCATTAATGGTTTGGTGTTTGATCCCAAAGAAGGCCAAGAAATTGCAAGTGTGAGTGATGATCATACCTGCAGGTATGTTATTTATGTTAAAACCACATTTTTCAATTTTCATCCTATTTTAATGAGAATTACATTATAAAAATTACAGAAAATTTAGCTTCTGTATATACTCTGTAAGATGTAAAAGATGCATACTTTATTTAAATTTAAGCATGGCACAAACATGAGTTTCAAAACTGGTGAATTCCAGTTAATGGAAACTTCCCTCTCTGCCTCTTACTGTAGATTTGTATATTTATGAAATTTAAATATGTATTGTGTCAAATTCTCCAATATTGGGTAAGAGCAGTAAGATGATAAAAGGCAACTACCATATTATGAAGTTATTTTACAGATCCTTTCTGATAAGTTAATGTTTATAAATGAATTGCAAATCTCATTTGCTAAAGTAGGACTCATAGGAAATTTCCTGTTTTGACTAATTTGGAAGTCTCTATATAAGGCTTTCTGCAGATATAATGCATTTCAATATCCTATTCTTCAACTCCATCCCTAGTTTGGAATGGATGAGATAGCTATGACATTTTTTAATATTGCTTAAAGCTAGAGAATATCACAAGTAAACAACAAGATGACAGCAAGAGTAGGAGGTGGAAATAAGCTGAGGAGTTAGGAGTGAAATGGAATTCTATAAGCATGCCAATTGCTTCACTTGCTTTAACAGTACTATGAGGGGGGGAAAAAACACAGCTCTGCTATTTTATATAATTTTAATGTTTGGTAAGACTATGACAAAATCATTAGTATTCATAAATATTTGTGTATATATATATTTATATATATATATAAAACCATTAAATATGTGTCCTTTCACACTGGAAGTAAAGCCACTGGGTACTTTTTAAATTTTAATCATAATAGCTCATCTTTTTAAAGTTGTAGAGTCATAGGCCATTATTCTTTATGTACTGCCTGTTAAAATTTTCATGTCAAGGACATGAAAGATTTACATGCCATTAAGATTTTAGGGCCTCAAGTGTTACAAAACCAAGTTTATATAGAGACCTGAAGAGTAAATGGGACCATTTTTAAAGTAAAAAGTTAGATTAGATCACTAGATATAAATAATGACATTTTCGTTTTCTAACTCCTGGACTTTCCTAATCACAAGCATTTGGAATAATGAAACCTGAGAAGGGTGAAAATGAGTGCCTTTGAAAGCCAAGGAACAGCCTCTGAATAGTGAACAATAGCCAGAGATCTGGGATTACATTCAGTGGTCTGTGATTACTTTTTTTCTTGTAGTAGAGTTTTGGGTTTTTGTAGTGTAGTAAAATTGTCCTAAAATTTTGGGACTGACAGAAGGTTGCCAATTTTTTATTTTGTCAAGTAATAAGAATTTTAAAAGGTCTACTGCCTTCTATTATTACCATCATTTTATGAAAGTAAGAACAATATTACTCTAAAAAGGAGAAAGGCTTAACTTCAAAGTAAGTCCTTTAAATAAACATAACTTTTTTAAAAAACATACTGTGTTGCCCCTAATTGCCTTATTTTGCTAGACTGTGGTTGATGATGTTATTGTTCAGCAAATACTTACTCTCCCTCCCCCTTTCACAAGGATGGAGGAGATTTTCCCACACCATTGGGCTTAGCTGTGTGACTTGCTTAGGCTGATACAATGTTAGCAGCTGTGATGCAAGCAGATATTTAAATGATTTACCTGTTTGTCTTGACTTACTGTCCTCTGTCTTCTATAAGATGAGCTTGTCTAGATAGCTACTGGTTTCTCATTATTCCACAGTGAGAAACAAATGGAACAAATATGGACCCATCTGGCGTTTTGAAATAGAGCTTCCCACAGACTCATGAGCAAGAAATTTATGCTTATTTTTGTAAGCCACTGAGATATAGGGGTTGATAACATAATTTTAGCAGTAGCTGGGGAGGTAAATTTAGAATTCATCAGCTTAGTTCACCAATCAGAAATAAAGGACAGTTCTGATTGGCCATTAAAGTCAAACCTTTTGGGCCAAAGCAGTATAAATAAGACTTAAAAGAAATAGCATAAATCAAGAAGTTTAAGGAAGAGTAGTAGGTATCATATACTCTCATAGTAACAAAGGAAAGAAGGACTTCTGATAGGATTACAGGAGAAAAACATTTCAGTACAACTGTCTTCATTAATTTAAAATATAGAATTGCCAAGTTACTAATAAAGACACTATCCAAATGGCAGCTACAGTTTGAGCAATGGAAATAGCTATTTATATCCTAGGAATCATTCCTATCACTATACTAAAGAAATCCTACCGATTAGTTTGGATCTGCATGTTTCACTTGTTCACTTGGACAAATAAAATCCTTGTCCAATTATAAGCAGAGCCTGTTTCATCTTGGGAGTAGCTTTATATGCAGGTAATACCATGCTTAAAAAAATACATGCTTAGTAGAGTAACTAGACTGAAGGTCAATAAGGAACTAGTGGATTTGAATAACATTATAAATTACTACACCTAACATGTATACAAAACACTTTCAGCATCAGCAGAATGTACATTCTTCTCAAGTGCACATGAAACATTCTCCAGAATAAACTGTATGTTAAGCCTAAAAATAAATCTAAATAAATTTTAACAGATTAAAATCATGCAGAGTACCTTCTTTGACCGCAGTGGAATAAACTAGAAGTCAGTAACAGAGAAAAATTGAAAAATCTACAAATATGTGGAAATTAAATATCAACCTATAAATAGTCAAAGAAGAAGAAATCATAAGGGAAATTAGAAAGTACTCTGAGGGGGCACCTGGGTGGCTCAGTGGGGTAAGCCTGTGCCTTTGACTCAGGTCATGATCTCAGGGTCCTGGGATCAAGCCCCACATCAGGCTCTCTGCTCAGCAGGAAGTCCGCTTCCCCCTCTCTCTATGCCTGCCTCTCTGCCTACTTGTGATTTTTCTCTTTCTATTAAATAAATAAATAAATTCTTTGAGAACCAAAAAAAAAAAAAAAAAAGACATATTTTTTTTAAAAAGTACTCTGAGGTGACTAAAAGTGAATAAACAACAAAATTGATAGGATGTAGCAAAACAGTGCTCAGAGGGAAATTATGTCTGTAAATACCTACATTGAAAAAGAAGGAAAAAGAGAAGAAAGAACTTGAATCAGTAACTTCAGTTTACACCTCAAAGGAGCTAGAAAAAGAAAAAAGGAAACCCAAAGGTAGCAGAAGAAGGAAAATAAAGATTATAGCAGAGATAAAATAGAAAATAATGGAGAACTGATGACACCAAAAGTTGGTTCTTGGAAAAGATATAACAGAATTAGCAAACCTTTGGCTAGACAGAATACTCCAATTAGTAAAATCAGAAAAAGTGGGACATTACTACCAACCTTACAGAAATAAAAAGATTTTAAGAGAGTATTATGAACAGTTACACACCAGCAAGTTCACCTACATGAAATGGCAAATTCCCAGAAACACAAAATTCAAGAAAAAGTGAGAATATCTGAATAGATCTATAACAAAGAGATTAAGTCAATAATCAAAAACTTCCCAACAAAGCAAGCCCAGGACAAGATGCCTTATTTGTGAATTCTACCAAACATTTAAAGAAGAATCAACACCAGTCTCTCAAATACTTCTAGATAATAAAATAGGGAATATTTTCTAAGTCATTCAATGATGCCAGCATTATCTTGATACCAAAGGCATCACAAGAGATCTGCAAACCAACATCCCTTACAAATATTGATGAAAAAATCCTCAACAATATCTATTTAAAATTAGAAAGCTCTTAGAAGATAACATGGGGCAAATCTTTATGACCTTTGATCTGGCACTGATTTCTTAGAAATGACACCAAAGGTGAATATAACAACAACAAACTAGATATAAATTGGACTTCATCAAAATTTAAAACTTTGGGCATCAGAGGACACTGTCAAAGAGCAAAAAGACAACTCACAGAATGGGAGAAGATATTTGCAAATCATAACATAAGGGTCTCAACCAAAATATATGAAGAACTCTTACAATTGAACATTAAAAAGACAAACAAAAGACAACCCAGATAGAATTGTTGGGTCATTATATTGTACACCTAAAATTAAAACAACACTATATGCTAATTATGCTTCAATAAAGACAAAACAGACAAATGTCTTGAATAGACAATTCTCCAAAAAAGATACAAGCTAACCAACAAGCACGTGAAAAGATGCTGAGTGTCATTAGACATTAAGGAGATACAAATCAAAAGCACAATGAAATAGGGGTGCCTGGGTGACTCAGTTGGTTAAGCAACTTGCCTTCGGCTCAGGTCATGATCCCAGAGTCCTGGGATTGAGTCCCACGTCGGGCTCCGAGCCCCACAGGGAGTCTCCTTCTCCTTCGACCTTCTCCCCTCTCATGTGCTCGCTCGCTTGCTCGCGCTCTCTCAAATAAATAAAATTAAAAAAAAAAAACCCACAATGAAATATTGCTTCACACTCACAAGGATAGAAAAGAACAAACAAAAATAGAAAGTAACAAGTGTTGGGAAAACTGTGAAGAAATTAGAACCCTCATTCTCTGCTGGTGGGAATGTAAAATGGTATAGACACTGGAAACATTTTAGTCATTTCCTCAAACAGTTAAACATGACCCAGCAATTCTGTTCCAAGGTAAATATTCAAAAGAATTAAAACAGGTCTTCAAACAAATGTACAAAGGAATATTCCTAGCAGCACTCTTCATAATAGCCAAAAGGTAGAAAAAATCCAAATGTCCAAGAACAAATGGCTAGATAAACAAAATGTGGTATATCCATATTTTGAAATACTATTCAGCTATAAAAGGGAATGAAGTATAGATACATGCTACAACATTGATGAAACTTTATGCTAGGTGAAAGAAAGTAGACATAAAATATTCTCTGATTCCATTTATATAAAATCTCCAGAATAAAGAAATCCATAGAGACAAAAAACAGATTAGTGGTTTCCAGGAACAGTAGGGGTGGAAGGGAATAGAAACTGCTCAATGGGTACAGTGTTCCCTTTTGGGATAATCAAAATGTTCTGGAACTGGAGA